TATATAATTTAATTTATTATAAGCTTCAATGTACTTTTTAAATAATAATAATTGTTTTAAAGTTTTCTTTTCTTTCTCTTTTTTTTTTTTTTTTTTAAATATATATTAAAGGTTTTAAAAAATAAAAAATCAAAATATAAAAACAAATTAACAATTACTAAAATTTTTTAATGTATTTTAATTATATATTTATATATTATTATTAAATATAAATTATATAAAAATGCTTCTTTTATAAATTATATTTATTATATATATATTATTATTATATATATATTATATATATAAATATTTTATTATAATATATATGAATATATATAAATATCATATATTATATCTTATGAACTCATATTCCTTCATTTTTTAAACCTTTCTTTCTTAAGATAGTAGAAAAAAAAAAAAAAAAAATCATATGTTGAAAAATTAGATAATATAATATACGTCCTTATAATATTTCATTATTATACATTAATACAAATTGCATGTGAAGGGAATGGGTAATAAATATATATTAAGAAATATATACCTTAAAATGAATATATATTATTATTTATTATATAATATATTTAGAAAATATCATAATTATATTTAACGAGAACACGTATTATATTATAATATATATGATGATATGATAAATAAAGATTAGTTATAGTTTCATTATTTGTTGATAATTATTATTGTATATATATTTATATATAATAGTAAAATATTTTTCTTTATAATATTATGCTCTTTATATTATAATAAATTAATTCGGGGTATGTAATAAAAATATATTTATATATTTATATATATATATATTCTTATTTTTTTAATTCTTCTGAAAAATTTACTTGTATTTTAAATTATAATATTATAACCCATATATTTTGTTATATATATATATATATATATATATATATATTAAAAAATAAAAATAATAAAAAATATGAAAATACAGTTTTTATATAATCTTAAAATGATTATTTTATATTTAACAATTTTATTTTTTTTTTTTATTTTTTGTTATTTGTATCATTATTATAAATTTGAAACATGATTTAATAAAAATACAACATACAAATAATACTATTTCACATAAAAGAAAAAAAAAAAAAAAAAAAAAAAAAAAAGATAAATTTTTCTTTAAAAGGAAATTGAGAAAACATTAATTTTTTATCCTAAAAAGAGAAATATATATATATATATATATATGTGTAAGAATATGGATATAACTAATTTTGAAAGTTATAAATTACAAAGTTATATATATTATATAATATAGATCATTTATTATTTCATTTTTTTTTAATTAATTTCAAAATATGTATCTTCCAATTGGGGTGTTTTCTAATTTTTTTGGATTTATCTTTTTGTAGATTTTTTTAAAATATATTTTTTTTTAAACCTAATATTATATCTTTATATTTATATATATATATATATATATATATATATATATATATATATATATTTATTTATTTTAATTTTTTTTTCTTTTACTTTTGCATGGTCTATTAGTTTTATATTTTTTTTTTTTTTTTTTGTGTTCCTTCTTTTTATCCAACAATGAATATTTATATATTATATATATTATATAGCAATGTAGAATATTAATAATTATATGGTTATTTTCTTTTTTTTTGTGTTTTTGTTCTGGAGGGAGAGAGGTTCATTTTTTTTTTATTTCTTCATTCATTTTAATAAATAAACCAATGTGGACCGTTTCCTTGTATTATCAATAAAAAAATAGTTATAAAATAAAGGTTTTTTTTTTTTTTTTTTTTTTTTTTTTTTTCTGAAGTATACAGTTTTTGTGTTGTTTTGGTTTAATGTGTCCACATTTCTTGTGTTATTAATTAAAGTTCATAATAAGAAATGTCAGAACATGCAATCATAAAAAATATGTATGTATATCAGTAATAATATATTGAAAGGAAAAAAAAAAAAAAAAAAAAAAATTAAATAATAATATATAAAATAATATATTTTATATATTTTATGATGTTGTATAATTTTTTGTAGATAATTTCATGTGATAAAATATTTCTCTTTTTAATCGTAATATGTTCACATTTCTTCAATAATATTATAAAATAAAATAATAATAAAATGAAATTAAGATAACGAAATTTTTATTTAAATATATATATGTCCAGTTGTGTCAATGTATTATATGAATATATCTTTTAAAAAATATATATAAAATATTCACAAAAATATTCTTTATATATATATATATATATATATATATATATATATATATATATTTTTAATTATGAAAAATTTGAAGAGAAAAAAAATAAAAATAAAAATAAAATAAAATAAAAACACATAAAATAAAAATATAAAACTAAAACACATGAACTGTAAAACCTCCACAAATTTTCATATTTGTCTGTAGAATTTTTTTTTTTTTTACAACTGCAACCAAAATATAAAAATTTATACCATTGTAATATTTTTAAGATATAAAAAATTTATAACTCTCTTTGTTATTCCTAAATTATTAATATATATATATATATATATATATATATATATATATATATATATATCTTTATATTTCTTTTATTTTTTTATAGTGAATATGTATGTAATCTATTATTACTTTTTAATTTTATTTCTTATAAATTCCTGGAATCTAGGCTTATCTTCCGAAAACGAAAAAAAAACTAATGCTACTGTTTATAATACCACAAGAACGAATACATTAATAAAAAATAATAATAATAATAATACAAATGATATATTTGGTTTAATCCCCACGGAAGTGCCAAATTTAATAGATGATGAAGAAGAGAATCAAATAATTGAAGCTGTTAAAGATTTTTCTGATTTAACGAGATCAACTAACATATACCCTTCTTCCACCATGGACCTTAATGATATAATTACAGAAATCTCAAAATTAAAAAAACAAAAATTAAAAAAAGAAATGAAAAATAAGTTAGAGCAACAAACAAATAATAATAATAATAATAATAATACTCATCATAATAATGAAAATGAAATAGATACCTTCACACAAAATATTAAAACAAATTCAAATGAACTAAAAAACCAAGATTCATCAAATAGTCTTAGTACTAATAGTAATACTGTAGATGAATTATTGTTATACAATAGTGACTCAGAAGATGATTTAGATATTCCTCTTGGTGAGCTCCAATTATATTACAACAGTGATGAAAACACAAGTGATTATGAATATGTTAATGATGATTATTACATGGATCATATTTTTTCAAACGATACAGAAGAATCATATAGTTTTTTAGAAGATCGTGAAAATATATCATTATCATCATTTAAAAAATATCAATATAATCCTATCGGACCATATAAAAAAAAAAACATGAATGTTTTTGAAAATTTTAAAATGACAAGAAGTTATGACGAATTTCTTACACTCTACAATTTAAAAGATTCTTCACTATATGAAGAATATGAATTGTTACCAGGAGAACCTTTTAAAATTAATAGTTATTACTATAGAGTTGCAAAGTATGAAAATGTTAAAAAATATATATTTAAAGAAATTTATGATAATATTCGAAATTTAAGCAGAGACAATAAAATAATTGTGTCAGAAAAAGAGGAACTCTTTCATTATTTTATCAAAAGTTTATTGAAAAATAATTTTATATGCTTATCCTATGAAGAAGAGGAGAATTTATTCAGTGAATCTAAACTCTTACTAGAAGCCATGATATCCAAAAGAATAAAATAAAATAAATAAGTTCATAATTATATTATTATTATCAATGAATAAACATGTGATTATATTCATATTATATAATACAAAAATTATATATATATATATTTATATACTTATTTATTTATATATTTAAATCGTATACACTTCATAATAATAATAATATAATATAATCCCCTAAATTTACAGAAAAAATACATATAAAGATAATATATAATTTTTAATAGACAAAACCCACCTTTGTATTATAAAAAAATATTTATATAAAAATATATAAGTATATTCTTTATGGTATTAACTTAAAATTTTTATTCCTAACATAATGTACTTTTATATTATATAATTAATGATGTAGATTATAAATTTTATCCATGGAATAAGTTCTACATAGAAAACATATATATATATATATATATAAGTTATCATTTTTAATATATATATATATATATATATATATATTATGACCATTTAGAAAATAATAAAAAAAATAAAATAAAATAAAATAATAAATAACATTTTTTATTTATTTGTCAAATTTTTAATTAAATATGTATAATTATATATTAAATTTTTATGCATCAAGTTAAACAAATATAAAACTATATTTTATAATGAAAATTAAAATATTACATAGATAGACATACATTATATGAAAAAAGTTCTTAATATATTCCTTTTAATTCTATGAAAACAATAGAAAGGTTTTCTTCAATAAAAATAAAATATATAATTTATTTAGCTTTTCATAAGAACATAACCAAAATATAATATATATATATATATATATATATATATTTATTTATTTATTTATGATCTATGAGGTATGCATATGATGAATATTTGGCATATGCAATATATATGATAATAAATAATTTAATATGTACTATTTGTCAAATTATATATGCCTATGAAGAAATAAAAAAAAATTAAGTTAAAAAAAAATTGATACATTAATAATTGATATATGAATAATAAAATTGTTACATATACATATATATATATATACTTATTGTATATTTGCAACAATTTCAATATTTTCATTTTCTAGATTTTTTTGTAAAAGCTAAAACCACAAGAGATAAGCCTGAACAGTTCGCAAAACAAGTTTGCTCACATGTTTACAGCACTCTGAGGCTAAAAATGTCGTCTACAATTTACTTAATACTATTTTTGTTGTTAAATTACAATAAAAAGAACATATTTTCTTTTGTTTATAAAAAAACAAAAAAAAAAAAACATACTTCTTTAGAGGATTATTTATATGTTTATGAAAATCTATACATAATATATATAGATTAACGCATATATGAAATTTCTCTTTTACATTAGCAATAAAAAAAAATAAAACACAACCTTATAACAAAAATATACAATTATATTATTGTTTAATCAGTATGGGTTCTGACTTAAGAGGCGTTCAGTCATTATCCAACAGACTTAGCTTCGCAACACTGGCTTATCAACCAATTGCTGTACCAATTGTCTGAACCAACTAATCCTCTCGTACCAAGTTGGATTACTGTCACAATAATATATATATATATAATAAAATATAATAATATTCATCAGTAGGGTAAAACTAACCTGTCTCACGACGGTCTAAACCCAGCTCACGTTCCCTATTAGCGGGTGAACAATCCGACACTTTGAGACTTCTGCGTCCCAATGATAGGAAGAGCCGTAATCGAAAATACAAAAAGCTACGTTGCTAATATCGCTAAGCAGCCACAAGCAAGTTATCCCTGTGGTAACTTTTCAGATACCTCTATATGCACAGTAGTAAGTAATTTACGTCATTTTGCAAATATAAAGGATCGATAGGCCACGCTTTCACGTTTTCTATTCTTTCTGAAAATAGAAATCAAACAAGCTTTTCCCCTTTTAGTCTACAAGAGATTTCTGTTCTCCTTGAGCTTATCTTTGGACATCTGCGTTAATTTTTTACAGATGTACCACCTTAGTCAAACTCCCCACCTGACTCTGTTTCCATTAAATGTGATACACATAAAATATAGAATAAATATATAGAAAAAGATTCTATCTATTTAATTCAATAGAATAGGATAATACTTTTTTCTTTATTTTATTTCATTTTTTTTTTTTTTTTTTTTTGTGTAGATCTTTTTAAAAAAAAAAAGAAACAAACACTTATATTAAAAAATTAAATAAAATAAAATAAAGAAAAAAATGTCATCATATTAGAATATACATAAATATATATATATATATATAATAGTCATTCACTACATAAATGGATTAGTAAAAAAATTTTAAAAGTAGTGGTATTTCACTGACGTAAAAACATTATTTCAATTTCTACTACCACTTATGCTATACCTCTTATATCTTTTTACAAAGCCAGACTAGAGTAAAGCACAACAGGGTCTTCTTTCCCCGCTGATTTTACCAAGCCCTTTCCCTTGGTTGTGGTTTCGCTAGATAGCAAGTAGGGACAGTAGGAATCTCGTTAATCCATTCCTGATGGTCTTTTTTATTGACCATACATTTTGGCTACCTTAAGAGAGTCATAGTTACTCCCGCCGTTTACCTGCGCTTAATTGAATTTTTCATCAACTTGACATTCAAAGCACTGGGCAGAAATCACATTGTGTTAATACCAGTTATAGCTTTTCACAATGCTATGTTTTTATTAAACAGTCGGATTCCCCTTGTCCGTTTCAGTTCTGAAAAAACACAGTTACAATATTACATAATTTTATTATAATAATTGCTTATCATAATAAGAAAAAAAAATGTAATATTGAAGAGAAAAAAAAAAAAAGGAAGAAAAGAATAGAAGAAGAAATCTAAAACATTTTAACATATATATATATATAAATAATTAATCTTAAAATAAAAGAAAAACTAATATATATAAACATCTTAACATTTTTATTTTCAACCACAATTCTTTTTATTTTTTTCTTCGCATTTATGTTATCAGAGCCAATCCTTTTCCCGAAGTTACGGATCTAATTTGCTTACTTCCCTTACCTACGTTTTTCTATTTAACCAGAGGCTACTAACCTTGGAGACCTGATGCGGTTATTGGTACGTTCATTATAATGGTAAATAAGAATATAAAAAAAAAATGGTTAATGTAGAATACTATAAAAATATGAAAGAAAAAAGAAAAAAAAAAAATAGAAAAAAAGGCTGAAGGTTAATATTTTTTTTCTTTCCTTTTTATTTCTTTTTGTCCTTTCATATTTTTATAGTATTTCACATTCCCATTTAATTTAGTGTTCCCTCCTTTTTTCATGGATAGTCCTTACCACTTTGGATAATTCGTACAAAAAACGAATTACTATTACTACAAAACAAAATTTTTATATATCATGTGTACCGGTCCACACATATTATAAATAATTTGTTTATTGTAAATTCATCGAACCTTTTCTACAAGTAAATTGATTTCCAAGGTTTGATATAAAGGTAAAGTGCAAAGATAACGCACTCCAAGCGTAAGGCCTATGTTAAGGAGTTCATTTATATATATATGTTACCATCTCTATTAATTAATTCTTATTACTTCTGGCGCAGGAATATCAACCTGCTTCCCTTTCGAGAAGAGAAAAAACACTACTATACTTTTCATATAATAGATAACCTCATTTTATAAAGCTTTTAAGCTGTCTCTTAGGAACGGCTAACTTTTGCTCAAACATAGTTCACAAAAAACCCTTCTCCACTTCAGTCTTCAAAGTTTTCATAAGAATATTTGCTACTTCCACCAAGATCTGCACTAGGGAAATGTTCCACGAAAACTCACGTATTTCGCTTCAACACAAACCCCACGATTTTCTACTCATAAAAAGAATCTAAAAAAAAAATATTGAATTTTTTTTTTCTTTTTTATGGCTTGGTATCGGTAATCCGCTTTAGCGCCATCCATTTTCAGGGCGAGTTTATTCGGTAGGTAAGTTGTTACACACTTCTTAGCGGATTTCAACTTCTATGAATACCGTCCTACTGTAATTACAAACCAACACCTTTTTAATGGTATCTAATGAGCGAATATTTAGGCACCTTATCCAAGCGTTAGGAGCATCCCTCATCGCCAGTTCTGCTTACCAAAATTGGCCAACTTGAAGTTATCTTATTTTAAATATGAATGAAATACAATAAAGTTATTTCACCATTTTTTTACCTATTGAATCTTTGAATTTATAGGTCAAGGAATTATCATTTCCCTGAAACCTCTAATCATTATTTCTACCAGGTAAAACTATATTATAATCAACTCCAGCGATCCTAAGAGATCTTTCGAAAATAACCAGCTAATAGGCTTTTCGATTAGTCTTTCGCCCCTAAACGCAATTGAAATGAACGATTTGCACGTCAGTATCAACTCGATCCTCCATCAGATTTTAATCTGACTTCAATCTCATCACGTTTAGTTCAAAGCCTCTCGGGTCCTAACAAGTATGCTCTTACTCAATAAAGCATAATCGCTTACCGGTATTGTATGCATTGTGGGTATATTATAAAAAAATAAAACACCACAAATCTACAATTAATAAACATATGTTACATTAATTATGCGTATAAATTTTTATACTATGTTTATTCTTATCATATACACTTGCACATTTGTTAGACTCCTTGGTCCGTGTTTCAAGACGAGTGGGTTAAAAAAGTACTTTATAAAAACATCTTAAATTATATTATTCACAACATGTACAATTAATATAATTTTGACAATCCTCAGTAAATTAAATAAATGTATCTTTCATATTTTTTTTTTTTTTTTCTCCCTTCATAAAAGAAAAAAAAAAAAAAGAAAAAGCAAGTTATATTTTTCCACATTAGTTTAGAAAAATAGTCAATAAGTAAAAAAAAAAAAAAAAAATAAAAAATAAAATAAAATAAAATAAAATTAAAATAGAATAGAATAGAATCAAACAAAATGAAAAAAAAAAAAAAAAAAAAATGAAATGAAATTCAATTAATTCTTTTATTTTATACCTTTTGTTTTATTTTATTCCATTTTAATTTTTATATTATTTTATTTTATTAATTTTTTTAATTTTTTTTTTTTTCTTGTTACTGTCATTTTGCTTTACGATTATTTATTTTCATTCACTGATGTTTCTTTTAATAAGAACATATATATTATGAAAGACAACTTTTGTATCATTTTTATCTTACCTAAAAAAGGATAAGAATAAAAATGAATTTTATAACAAAAGTTTCAAAAGAATTCTTTTTAAAAAAAGAAAAATTTTGTTTTGATACTTGAATATCTACATCCTTTTCAGGACTACATTCTTTATTGCGCGCATCAAAATCTCTCATTTACTATGTGTTGTTACTTTTTTCCTTTTTTAATCCGTTCCATCTTAACGATTTCAGGTACTATTTAATTGCTCATTCCTGAGTACTATTTCATCTTTCCCTCACGGTACTTGTTTACTATCGGTTTCTTACAAATATTTAGCTTTATGTGAAATGTATCACACATATTGATGTTCCAATCTCAAAGAACACGACTCAAAACAAAACATTCCAAGAGATCGGTTTTATGATTAAGAATACGGGCCTTTCACCCTCTATGGAGAGACATTTCTATCTACTTCATCTCATTATCATATTATAAAAAAGAACTCTTGAAATGTTTTTCAACTTGACAATTCCAACAAATCGCGGGTAGCCATCTGTCGGATTTTCCATGTTGAGCTTTTCTTTGTTCACTCGCCGTTACTAAAAGAATCATTGTTATTTTCTTTTCTTCCGCTTAATAATATGCTTAAGTTCAGCGGATTTGCTTTCTTATATTAATAAACCCTTTCCATAAAATATATTCATATAAATTATAACACGTTTAAATTACAACACATATAAAAAAAATAAATAATAAAAAAAGTATGTAATAAGAAAAGTATATATAAAAAAAGTATGTAATAAGAAAAGTATATATAAAAAAAGTATGTAATAAGAAAAGTATATATAAAAAAAGTATGCAATAAGAAAAGTATATAATAAAAAAATTATATTATATGAAAAAAGTATAAGAGTAAGAAAAAAGAATAAGAGTAAGAAAAAAGAATAAGAATAAGAATAAGAAGAAGGTATATGTATATGTATATGTAAAAAGACTATGTATAAGAAAAAAAGTCTATGTATATGTAAAAACACTATGTATAAGAAAAAAAGTCCATGTATATGTAAGAAGACTATGTATAAGAAAAAAAGTCTATGTATATGTAAGAAGACTATGTATAAGAAAAAAAGGCTATGTATATGTAAAAAGACTATGTGTAAAAGCAAAAGAGACTATGTATAAAAAAAAAAGACTATGTATATGTAAAAAGACTATGTATAAGAAAAAAAGTCTATGTATATGTAAGAAGACTATGTATAAGAAAAAAAAGCTATGTATATGTAAAAAGACTATGTATAAGCAAAAAAGACTATGTATAAAAAAAAAAGACTATGTATTAAGAAAAAAAAGCATAATGTATATGAATAATTTACTTTTATTTTTTTATTTTTTATTTTTTATTTTATTATTTTTTTTTTTATTATTTTTTATATTTTTACTTTTTATTTTTTTTTTTTATTGTACATATAATAACATTTACTATAAACGAGTTCAACGAATGAATCCATGAACAAAAAAAAACTAAAAAAATATATGCATAAATTATTATGAAAACTTGAAAACACTAAAAAAAATATATAATCTAAGAAACACAGAATAATGTAATGCCTTTATATAATTATGAAAAAACCATATATTAAATCTTTCCAAAATATCAAAAAAACTATATCCTCAAAAGTACATCAAAATAAACTATATCCTCAAAAAAATACTGATCGTATTATTTCTTTTCAGGCACATTAAAACTAACCTATATTCTTTTGAAAAACATGACTAACACACTATATACTTTTAAGACACACGATTAAAACTATATTCTTTCAGAAATATCAAAATAAATTAAAAGTTTTGGCAAAACAATATTAAGACAAAACTTCTAAGGGCAATATTTCTTAAATATAAATTATTTTTCTTCATATCTCATAACATTTAATATTCCATAGAATCTTTTATCCAAATATAAATAAAAAAAGTTTTCTATATTATACACATGAGGGGTTTTGTATATAGTATAAAAAAATTTCATACGTATATAAGGCTTATATTTATATATATATATATATATATATATATATATTTAGAATTTCCAATAATATTCTTGGGGTTTAGAATAAAATAGATTTCCTAAATATACACTCTTCTCTCAGTTTCCATGTATTTGATGTTTTTCTTCAATCCATTTATATTCTTATGTGTATTACCCATAACAATCTGTTTTTCTTCATTATCATATTGTGTTGATTCTATTTATCAAT